TATATGTGTGTGAAAAGACCACAATGCCCCTCAATGTAAATGGCAAAACTAGGAGAAGTTTCCAAGCTCGAAAATCGTCCCGACTTCCAAAAAATTTTAAAATTAATCCCGTTACTTCTAATTGACTTAAAATAAATAAATAAAATGCATTTCTAAAACTCTCTGGTCAAGAAAATGACCTAAATGACCCTCGAGACCCGCGTGTCACTCAAAACAAGGCACAAAAAATAATTTAAGACAAAAAATTCGAAAAAAATCTGGGACATTACAGCCGCCACCAGCGCCACTGCCACCACCTTTTACCACTACCGCCACCTCCACTGTCTTCTACCACCACTGTTACCGCCTTCCACTGTCTTCTACCACCGCCGCCGTCTTCCACCACTACCACCAGTGCCAACTCCACTGCCTTCCACCACCACCACACTACTGTCACCACCTTCCACCAACACCACTGCCACCTTTCACCAACACTACCACCCCCACCTTTCACTATTGCCACCATTGTCGCCTTCTAACACCACAACCTATACCACTACCGCTTTCCATCGTCACCACCATCCACCACCGCCACTGCCCCCATTTATTTTTAAAAATTATAAAAGAATGTCATTTTGTTAATTTAATTTATTTAGTACTAAGAGGGATATTTTTGAAAATTCAATTTGAAATTTATTTTATTCTAAATTTTAAATTGGTCCAACTAAACATTAGAATGGTTATTATCATTCAATTCCTACACATTTCATATTTAGAATGAGAATGGTCATTCCATTCTATTCCCATTCTCGTTCCATTTCCACTTGCATTCCATTCCATTCCTGCACACTAAACACAACATAAGAGTTTTTAATCTCCGTTTTAACTTTCTTGATTTTGTTTTCTTGATTCTTTATTGATAAACATGTACGTTGAAGACCATTCAATCCTTTGCATGCTATATATCCACCTTGTCTAACTGAATTCCAAATAGATGACATGAAAGATGAATATATATAGGGATAAGTGTAGAAAACATCCCTAATATATATTCCGCATATCATTTTTACCCATTTGAAAAAGTTTGCAAAAAACACTCATATTCTTTTCATATTGTGCGAAAACACCTCCAATCAGAAATTGGACATAAATTGGTGTTATAATACCCATTTTGCCCTTTTACTCTTTCAAAAATGCCCAATGGGGTTTTGTGTAGATATCATTTTTTGTTGGGTTGGCCCGCTTTAATTTAGGTCATACCCAGATCAAAGCGGGCTCACCCACATACACCACATCAGATCCCAACCTTTGCTAGGATTTGTTTTGCAAATAGAGAGCTTACACTCTCATGCATGGAGGTCCGGCAGGGTCGCCGCCGTCCGTTAAGTATATATATAAATTCTTCATCTCCACCCACGGTCGTCGGAATCCATGGAGCTCTCGATCTATTAACACATGAGAAACCCTATCCCTTGCACACCCCTTCGATCTCTTTCTTTCTCCACCTTCACTGAAAATTCCTGAACTCCATCACCGTCCCACTCTCGCCGGAGCTTCGACATTCTCTCCTTTCGGCTTCATACAGTTCTCTAGCTTTAGTCAGGGGTGGAGGGAAGGGGGGCTGGGGGTGGCCATGGCCCCCCCTAATTTTTTGGAATTTTTTTTTAGTTATAGGTAAAAATAAAAATAGTATAGCATGTATGATATAAAATCTATACTTGGTACCCTTGAGAAAAAAAAAAAAATTATTTCTTTAATTAGCATTTAACAAAAGATAGTTTATATATAATCTAAAAGAAAGTGATTTAATTGACGACTATAGAATCCCGATAAAAACTGACTCATATAAAAATTTAATTTGGCTATCTTAAAATTTCAACTCAAACACTGTTCTTTCCATAACGTGACTATCTTAAAATCCTTCCAACTCAAGTACGATTCTTTCCATAGCCTTATTGTCCTAAAATTATATCTCATACATGATTCTTTCCATCACTTTTTATTTATTTATTTATTTTTATTGGAATGCTCTTATAATAATTCTATAAGAAATTAATTTTTACAAAAACTAGAACAAAAATTTTATTTGAAGTTTTAAATATCAACAAAAATCGATGATTGATTAATCTAAATTCTTATTTTATTAATTTGTTTGGTTTTTTTTTTTTATTTTTTATTTTTTTTATCATTGTTATTGTTTTATTAAATTTTTAATTCTTACTTTTTTTAAAGGTTATTTTTGTTTTTTTTTTTTTTTCTTTTCAGTAAATAAAGAGAGTTATTTTTGTTAATTTATTTTTAGAGAGTTTTGTTTTGAAAGTCATTTTATATTTATCCACTTCGGATATGGCCGAGCAATTAACTCGCTGAACTTTGGAGCTTAGTAACCCCAAGGTCTGGGATTGGAGTGCCGCTGGGTATTTTTTGTGACTAGCCTTTACTGCCCTACAATGACTTTTATATTTTAGTTTTAACTTACCTATTTTCATACTACTTTTTAATGTTGTCATTCACAATTTCGACTTTTTTATTTTGTCTTGTTTCCCATTTGAATTTATTTGCCTTTTTTTTTTTTTTTTTTTTTCTGGCGAAAGAAAGAGAGTGTAGAGAGCCAAGTTTCAAGAAAGATTACACCGTTACAATCTCTTATTTCAATGCAACTTCCCAAAAATATATATATATATATCCCTTATTTCAAAGCCTTCAGTATGTTTGTCGGAACGTTATGATCTGTAAAGAGACCATCGGGAAACGGCCGGCCGAAGTGTGGTGGTGGGTTGAGATGCTTTAATAGGATTGTGAATGGGACATCGAAAAATGGTCGGGCCGGAGCTTGGTGATGGTGGTGGTTGTGAGGATGGGTTGAGAAGCTTTAATGGAGGTCTGCACACTTGAATATTCACGGTGTGTGGTTTTCAATTTTAATAGGAGTTTACAAAATGACATGAATACTTTTATGGAGCATCATTTTGCTCTGTGTTCTTACTGCTGGGTCGTCCATACGCGCACCATCATCTTGTTCTCTGTATTGGGGTTGTAAGGATGCTGTTTTGCAGAATATATAAAGTAATTAAAAAAAATAATAATAATAAATAGAAGGTAAAGAGAGAGAAAAAGTCTTTTTGTTCATTTTACAAAATGATAATTTTTTTTTATATATTTTATAAAATATGTCAACAAGGGCGTTATAGTCCAACATATGTAAGTAGGACTTATTTGCATAAATATCATAGTTTAGGGGTGTTTATTTACACATATATCAAACGAAAATTGATAAGCCTAGAGGAAATTATATATCATAGTTCTTTTGTTGCTGGTTCGAGACTGACTCTTTCATGAGCTGAGAGGAAACTTTCGTTTCCTTGTTGCTGGTTCGAGACTAAATCTGTAATCGTTTACAAGGCTGTATAATGTATTACATGTAGTTGATTGTCATGCAAGAATTGCAATTGTTATTTATGATATTCAGTATGGGAGAATTCCTCGTTTCGGCTTAGCCATGTGCGTAGACATGGTGAAACGAGATGGCAAATATGATCATAATCTTTGTAGAAGTCTTATTCATGAGGACATTGTTCTTTCTTATATCCCGCAGCTTGACTTACACTGATTTTAGAGGCTTTTGGTTGTTGTTTGTTATTTGACAAAAAAAAAACAAAACAAAACCCTTTTATTCTTATTGTATCCCTTTTTTTTTTTGTATATATAAATTTGCTTATTTATTTATTTATTTATTTTTAACTGAATATTTATCCGGCAAAGCTTAATTATTAAATATAAGAAAAGAAATATTCACCAACTAATTAAAACTCATAATTGTAATAGTCGAAGCATTTTTTTAATATGTATATATATATATTATTGGCAAAGTAAATTGTATTCGAAAAAAAAAAAAATTGTAACAGGTGAGACAAAAAAAAAAATGAATGAAAAACTGCTACACAAACAAGTCTTTTTTCTTTTCTTTTTTTTTTTTGGGTATTTGACAACCAAAATAATTTGACAATTTGTGTTTAAAAATATTCGAGTAATCGGATTGTGTATGAATTGACTCACTCATTTAATACCCAACCCATTTATTAGCCCAATTGGCTCATTACTAACTCGTTCATTCGAGATCAGACCAGAACTCACCCAATTACCCCCCAGAGTTAACCTGTGACTACACAACCAGTGTGTGTATATATATATGCTTTACATATGAACAAGTATGAAATCAAGATTAATTGATGAGGATTGCGGTTCGATAGTTTTATGTGATGGCCCATATACAATACATTAAACTATTTGGACGTACTTGGGGGTGGATTTATTTGGGGATGGATTTAAACTACGTATCGATTTTGGTGGCTAATCTCCAATTTTGAAAATGTTTTTGGTGGCTAATCCCTAATTTTAGTGGCAAATTCCCAAATTTTTTTATTTTTTCGTCAGAACAACCACAAAAAATAGGAAATGTTTTTTAATGTTTTAAAAATTTACCAAAACACCCACTTAACATACAATTTTAACGTTATTCTGACACATACTCTAATAGGAAATGTTTTTATACGTTTTTACAAACTTCAACTTAGTTATGATTTGGTCACAATGAGTGTCATTATATAATTTTTGCACCATCAAGATTGAAAAAATTAACCTACATGTTACCGTTGAGAAGTTATCATTTTTTGGTGAATATAAAGAAGTTTCCTCAACCAATTTTGAAGGATGAGATCACAGCTTCAGCCTCCAGGCAGAAATAAGGTCATCTTCCTCCTTAGATTCCCACCTCCCATTATTCCTACAGTTCAACTACATGGTAAATGAGCAATGAAGAACATTTCTGAAAGCATTTTAGGCTTGTGCAGCTCATCCCCACCACTGTACGTCCCCTCAAAAATGGAACAGACACAGCTGTTAGACCTCTTTTGATGCTGCTGCATCTAAATCAAGGTCCACTGGATTTAGTCTGGGGGAGCATCGGAGAGATATCGGAGAGAGCTTATTCTATCAACAACAGCAAAAACAAAAATTGAAAATAATAAGAAAACTGGTTTCGCAACCCCCTCAATTTTTTGAGTATTATTTATAGTCTTTGAGACAAACTCTATAAGCAGTCAATGAGAAAATTTGCCTCATGCACTAATTAATACTAATGAAAAAGGCAGATGATATTACAACAATTTTTTTCCCATCCTACACTAAGAAAAGAGTAATAAACCATACAAAATATACATAAAATTTTATTACAAAAGATGAAGACAAAGCAACACCAACTGGATGGAGATGATAAGGGTCCTCCAATTCCAACCTTGCAAACTCAACTTCGGAGAACTATTGGCTGAAACTGTACACAACAATAGCAAGTTTCCAGTTAATAATTGGAGTGTAAAATTTTCATGATAACAATCAAGCAAGGATGCCCAATTTTGCAACTATGATGCATTTTTCTAGCAATTGATTACGCAAAACAGGCAGAGGGTGATTGCTTTCTTTTCTTCTATTATTCCTACGCGCAATGTAGTCTATTGTTTCTTCAATGTCAAAGAAAGTCTTCATTCTCAAAGTGCAAGTTCTTTCTTGATGGACATATGATAAATTTCATACCACTGGGTCGAATGGCAAAAGAAGCAAAATTGTCATCTCGTGTTGTAAATGACTTTTCTTTCCCGGACTTGTAGAAGGGGGGCAATATTTGCTATGTATTTTTCTTAATATAATATAATCGTTTCTTATCCACAAGAAAAAAGGTTCACTGCCTTTCAGCCTGTGCAAACATATTAGATCAGTGGTTATTTTGAAGAATAATTAGTATATGAGTCCACAATGTCAAGCTCAATACTGCTCAAAACTTTATATAGCAGTAAAATGATGTCTATCCATTATTTATGGGGCGGAGATCTAGAGAGAAACGAAATCTTAACCCACATCTTCATGTTAATGGATTTTTCATTTTCTTCTTTCTATTTTTATTCTTATATTTGTTGGGGATAATATTAACTCCCTCCAACCCACTCGACGATCGGCTGTTGTTTAGAGTTAAATCCCTCATTCATCACACACAGCAAAAGCATCATCACATCATAACAACGCAAGCATATATGGAGATAACAATCATGCACATCTATGCACAACACAATATTTTACATAGTTCACCCTACTCTAAGGTTACGTCCATGGGAGAAAGAGATTTCACTATTACTCCCTCTGTCGTGTAATAATTGGGTGCTTTGGGAATTGTGACTCAAAAAATTGTGAGTTACAGTCAGTGATGGACCCAGAAAATTTCATGAGGGGGGCGACCTTTTAATTTGTTGGGGTTTTGTAATTTCAATAGGGTTTTCTTCATAAATTTTAAAAAATTTAAAGTATAAAATGCAAAAAGAAAAATTTAGATTTTAGTGGGGGAATCTTCATAAATTCTAAAAAAATTGAAGTATAAAATGAAAAAAAAAAAAAAAAGAATTCAGTGGGGGCGAATTGTAATTTTAATAGGGGCATCTTCATAAAATTTTAAAAAATTTTAGGTATAAAATGAAAATATTAAAAATCCAATGGGGGCATCTGCCCCCACTGGTCCTATGTTGGGTTCGTGCCTGGTCACAGTTCTCAAAGCACCCAACTATTATGGGACAGAGGGAGTAAGACTCAAGGAAGAGAATTTACAACCACATGTTAAAACCTCCCTCACTCACTCATCATCTCTTTTGAGGCTACATGTATACATTCAAGAATTACATATACTCTCCCCCTCCTCACAACACTCACCCTTAAACCCCTTACATCTTTTCTTTCTTTTCTCTCTTTTCTCTCTCTCCTTCTAAACCTCTCATACCCATCTCTATTTATAGAGTCTTCAAATCCAATTCCTTGTTGGAAAAGGATCAACTTGCCTACAAGGAGTTACCATATCCGTCTTCAACTCTAAAATAACATGTACAACTTCTTTCCCAAATTTTCAGCCTTTTTTCTCCAAGACTTCTGGCTTCCAAAACCAATAAGGAAAACAAATCACATAGTTTCCCAAAAGGGAGTTGAACCGGTTCAGCAATACTTGAACTACTTCAACTTTGTTGCCCCAAAAATGTAGCAACTCACTGCCTCACTTGAACTGGTTGAAGTGCCCTTGAACTGATTCAACTAAGGCAGTAGTCAAAGTCCAACTCATTACTCCAGTTGAACTGGTTCAAAGTTCTTGAACCAGTTCAAACAGGCCAGTATCTTAGACTCCACCTCAAAGAAAGGATCTCTTCATAGCTCCACCTCAACTGATGGTTTCTTCAACTCAAATAAAACACTATGATGAACTTGAGAAACACTCTAACAATCTCCACCTTTTCTCAAATTCATCATTCATCATTTTTCTTCTATCTTCTCTATCCACCCCATTGGTGTTCAATTGCTCATGCATGGCAACCCACCAATCTTCAACTCATCTTCATCAATTGCTTTTCTAGCTTAAAGCAACAAAAAAACTCTCCTTTTCACTCTTCATATTCCCCTTTGCTCTTTATCGGGCTTAGAGCAAACCCCTTCATTCTTCACACCCCTTGCCCCATCTTGAGAACTAACGCTCACTCTTGGCTTATCCCCAAAACTTGTTCTTCGTGGGCTTTAACTCTATCACCTTTGCCCCATCTTGAAAGCAAGTATCCTCCAGCTTGTCCTCATACTTGTTCCTCATTGGCCTATGTTTTCACACCATCTATCTTCTTTGTGTCATTATCAACTTTGATTGAATCTCCATAGCACCTCACGATCATCTTCTGCTCTGACAAACTTCACACCAATTTTCTGCACTAATCTTCAGGACCAATCACAGGCTCTGACCCACCATCGGCTCTAATACCATTTGTTGGGGAAAAATATTTACTCCCTCCAACCAACTCAACGGTCGACTATTGTTAAGAGTTAAATCCCTCCTTCATCACACACAGCGGAAGCATCATCACATCACATCAACACAAGCATATATGGAGATAACAATTATACACATCTATGCACAACACAATATTTTACATGGTTCATCCAACTCTAAGGTTACGTCCATGGGAGAAAGAGATTTCCCTATTATGAATCAAGGAAGAGAATATACAACCATATGTCAAAACCCCACTCACTCACTTACTCATCATCTCTTTTGAGGCTACATGTATACATTCAGGAATTACATATACTCTCCCCTCTCCTCACAACATTCACCCTTAAACCCCTTACATCTTTTCTCTCTTCTCTCTCTCTAAACCTCTCATACGCATCTCTATTTATAGTCTTCAAACCCAATTCCTTGTTAGACAAGGATTAACTCGCCTACAAGGAGTTACCAGCTAATTGTAGAAGTGTGGGTCAAAAACCCTAACCGATATATCCCATCTATAGCGAACCTCAGTGTGGTGATTGTGTCTAAGTCAAAGGCTGTAAAAAAGGGTATGGAACTACACGCGGGAATTCTTCTTCAAATGGTGATCAAACTCGGCCAGCTTCGCAAGCCTCTTTTCATAGCCGGCTCTTCAATCCTTTCAGGACAAGGCTCGAGCTACAACGCTACAAATGGACTGCGGCTCATAGGGATTTCTTTCCGTATCTCCTTCGTAGATTGTGCGCTAATCGAAGGAAGATACATAGGGAATAACAAGAATGCCAGCCAAGCCCAGGATCAAGACTCGGATAGAGGCGGGAGGAAGACTCCTTGCTTACAAGGAGACTGAAAAGAGGAAAGAAGCGGACCGCTGACTGGGGTTCACTTTGACTAAGTGACTCACCGCAGAGAGGAGTGTTTTAAGAAAGGGAAATGAAAGACTTGGCTCTTGACAGCTGCCACTGAACTTCAGAGGACAACAGATTCGAGCTACCCTACATCCATGTTTTTGAATAGTTTGAAATGTTCATTTTGCTATCCATCTTCAACTCTGAAATAGCAAATACAACTTCTTCCCTAAATCTTTAGCATTTTTCCCCAAGTCTTTTGGCTTCCAAAACCAATAAGAAAAACAAATCACATAGTTTCCCAAAGGGAGTTGAACCGGTTCAACAATACCTGAACTAGTTCAACTTTGTTGCCTCAAAAATGTTGCAACTCACTGCCTCACTTGAACTGGTTCAACTAAGGCAGTAGTCAAAGTCCAACTCATCACTCCAATTGTTCTGGTTCAAAGTTCTTAAACTAGTTTAAACATGCCAGTATCTTAGACTCCACCTCGAACAGGGATCTCTTCATAGCTCCACCTCAACTGAAGATTTCTCTACCTCAAATAAAGCACTATGATGAACTTGAGAAATACTCTAACAATATTTATTTTTAAAATCACGAGTGCGGGAGAGAAGAAAAGAAAAAATGGAAGAGATTTCATTTTCTAAATGCAAAATTTGCTCCTCACAATAGAAATGCATCAACTTACAAAAAAGGGCATTCCTACAAGGCAACAACTAAATTCCAATTAAGTAATATGAGCAGCATATTTAGGCTACTGGATAGTCCCTTCATGACAAGAAGAACTAAATATCCTCGCATGCAACAACTTTAGAATAGGTATACAATCCGATCTTGCTATTCAAGCAATATCTAGGGTCAAATGTTCAGTTCAATATAAGCCATTACCTAGTCATTGGGCTAACACCCTTTATAATGGAACATGCAAAATTGGAACACTGCATCAGGGATGAGAATGTGCAATTACCTGGACAAGTGGATTCCACAGCAAGATCTGTGAGGATGGTTTGGTTATTGTAACCAGCATAGGAACATGTTGTACGATTACAACCTGTCGTTGTGGTATTACCAAGGTACAAGCTCTCTGTTGCTTGGCACTGAGAGGCCGGGCATGAAGGCCAGGAGGAGGAGTTGACCTGAGATGGCTCACATTGTAATCTGAGGCACGCACGAGAAAATGACAGTAGAACAATATCAGATTACTGAGAGCTGAGAAATAGCAAAAAATGAAGAGGAGAAAGTAGATGGGTTATCAACTTACGTCCAGTTGTTTGCAGAATCACACTTGCACATCACACAGTTGGTAGCGGTGAAGACGTAAGTGCCATTGGAGACAAGTAAAGGGTAGTCCAGTGAGGTACTGCTTACCACCGATGTACAAGCTGTGGACAACATTCAAACAGCAAGCATTCAATAGAGGGGGAAAAAAAAACTATAATCTCGTAAAACAAAATGTAAGCACCAAGTGGAGACAGAAATCAGCATAGTAATAAAATTTTCCAACTTAAAAAGGCCTTGAGGTTCGTTTCATTAGCTTGAGGTTTAAAATCAATACCCTACACATCCATGTGATTTAAATAAAATCCGCTTATTTATTAGATTTACTTCCTATCATTAGCTACATGCCACTACCAGCAACTGAGCAGGATAACTTTTTAAACTGTCATGTCAGGAAGCATATTCACATTGAGGGCCAACAACAAATAATAACAAAGAGTACACAAAACATAAGGTAAACAATATATAACAAAACTAAGCACATTTAATAGCCCAATCTTTTTTCCAAAATCTATATATAATTGCCTATGTGAAACTTCCGATGCTAACAATATTCTGGCAGTTGCATTTAACTATTTTTTTTAGAGGATACATGACCTAAATCTTGTATGGAGGGAACCAAAAATGGATTATGTTTAATTGGAATAACCTTATAAGCAGAGGCATATATGATTAATCTGTTGTAGGGATTTGGGTTCTATCTCCAATTCTTTATTTTTATTTTTATTAATTTATTTTACTTTGAAACAGAGGATGAGGCAGCCATCATAGAGAGGGAGAGATCTATTTTCTTGTAAGAAAATCATATCAAGATAGTAGAATCCTTGTCATACATCAATATAAAACGATTTTTTAGTTGTATGATCAAATCCAAATTGTGTATATGTAAAGTCCTAGCAAATTTCTGATATAAATATATGCAATCTCATCGAAATTGTTATTGCCTTTGGCATTTGTGGAATACTATTAATCATTGCATTTTTCCGTATTTAACTCCTTTGCCAATAAGTGTGATCAATATATAATTATATACGTATATATGGATATTAGACAAGTTTGATAGTGATGGGTGGTGTGGAGCCTAATAGATACTATACACCAAGCCCCAACTGCGCGAATTTTTTGGAGGGCATTTTGGTAATTTCCGCATTTGTTATGTTGTCCTAGTGCGAGGGTATTTATTTATTCTGAACTCTTTGTATTTGCTGCTTTTTTTATCATTATAGTGAAAATCGGTGCAACCCTTGGACGTAGCCCTGTTTTGGGTGAACCAAGTAAAATTTGTGTGTTCTTATGAGTGTGTGTTTGATCTATTTCTTGTATTTTCTGTTTAATTTTGCAACAACTGGTATCAAAGCCATTAGGTCCAGTGGGAGCGATGGGTACAAAAGAAGAAAAGATCAAGATCGACAAGTTCAATGGTGCAGATTTTGGGTTCTGGAAGATGCAGATTGAGGATTATCTGTATCGGAAAAAGTTGTATCAGCCTCTTTCCGGAGATAAACCAGAAGAGATGAAGGATGATGATTGGGCCCTTCTTGATTGGCAGGCACTAGGGGTCATTCAATTGACACTATCACGCAACGTTGCCTTTAACATAGCAAAGGACATGACAACAACAGGTTTAATGACTGCCCTTTCAAATATGTATGAGAAACCCACTGCTTCTGACAAGGTATATTTGATATGGCAATTATTCAACCTAAGAATGTCAAAAGACGCTTCAGTAACTGACCATCTGAACGAGTTAACATTGTTACGACTCAGTTAAGCTCTGTAAAGATCGAGTTTGATGATGAGGTTAAGGCGTTGCTTCTCTTATCCTCTTTACTAGAAAGCTGGAACGGTACTGTTACAGTAGTGAGTAGTTCTTCAGGGAAAAGAAGATTGAAGTTAGATAATGTTTGGGACTTGATTCTCAGTTAAGATATTCGCAAAAGGGAAACAAGGGAATCATCTGGATTTATTTTTAATACCGAGGGCAGAGGAAAAACTTCTGAAAGATCAGACTCGGACCGTAGTAAATCCAAATCCAAACACAGAAGCAAGTCAAAAACTAGAACCTGCTGGAAATGTGGAAAGAAGGGGCATTTAAGGTTTGAGTGTCGAGCAACAAAGAAGAAGAGCAAAGGAAAACAGGAATCTGTAAACGCCGTCAGAGAAGAAATTGTTGACCCTCTAATTCTGAGTGTAGATAGTCCCGTTGAGTCTTGGGTTCTAGACTCAGGTGCATCTTTTCACTCTACCCCACATCGTGAAATCATGGAGAACTATATCATTGGTGATTTCAAAAAGGTTTATCTAGCTAATGATGAGCCTTTGAAAATTGTGGTTAAATGTGATGTTCAGATTAGGCAACCTGATGGGGCTATATGGAAGATTCAGAATGTGAGGCATGTTCCTGGCTTGAAGAGAAATTTGATCTCTGTGGACAACTTGATGACGATGGGTACGCAGTTAATTTTGTAGGTGGCTTGTGGAAAATCACCAAGGGATCCTTGGTCGTGACTCGTGGAAGCAAGACGGGTACTCTATACATGACAACAAACACCAAGAACGCCATTGTTGTTGCTGATGCTGGCGTAAATTCAAACATGTGATATCATAGACTGGGTCATATGAGTGAGAAGGGGATAAAGGTACTTCTGTCGAAAGGAAAACTGTCGGGTATTAAATCAGTTGAAATTGGTTTGTGTGAGGACTGTATCTTCGGGAAACAGAAGAGGGTCAGTTTTTTAAAGGTTGGCAGGACACTTAAGACAAAGAAATTAGAGATGGTTCATACAAATGCGTGGGGGCCTTCTTTAGTTTCATCTCTTGGCGACTCATTGTATTATGTTACATTTATCGATGATTCTACAAGAAAGGTATGGATTTATTTTTTGAAAAATAAATCTAAAGTATATGATACTTTCAAGAAGTGGAAGGCCATGGTGGAAAATGAGACAGGCTTGAAGGTGAAGTGTTTGAGGTCTGATAATGGTGGTGAGTATGAAGACATAGGCTTCAAAGAGTTTTCTGTTGTTAATGGGATCAGAATGGAGAAGACTGTTCATAAAACCCCGAAACATAATGGGGTTGCAGAACACATGAACAGAACCTTGAATGAGCATGCTCGGAGTATGAGGATACATGTTGGATTGCCTAAGATGTTTTAGGTTGATGTAGTTAACACTGCAGCATACTTGATAAACTGAGGACCTTCTGTTCCTTTGGATAGAGGCTTACCAGAGGAGGCTTGGAGTGGAAAAGAGGTAAATCTTTCACATCTGAAAGTGTTTGGTTGTTTTTCATATGTACATATAAGTTTTGATGCTAAAACCAAGTTTTATTGGGTATAGCACTGATGAGTTTGGTTATCGGTTTTGGGATGATCAAACCCGGAAGATAATTAGAAGCAAAGATGTCGTGTTCAATGAGAAAGTAATGTATAAGGACAGGTTAGGAACAGATTCTACTAATGCAGGTGCTCATGCTGAAAAGGATGAGTATGTTGAGTTAGAGGAAATCTCTGAGGAAGATGTGTAGAGGAGAGTTCAGAACAATCCAGAAAATATAATTCCACGGGTGGAACAAAGCACACCTACTACCGGATTGAGACGATCCTCCAAAGTCTTTAAACCTACACAACGTTTTTCGCCTTTTTTACACTATTTGTTGTTGTCTGATGGTGGTGAACCAGAAAGTTATGATGAAGCAATGCAAGTTAGTGATTCAACCAAGTGGGAGTCAGCTGAATGAGATGGACTCACTCATGTCAAATCAAATATATGGTAGCCAATTGAACTACTAAAGGGCAAGAAGGCTTTACATAACAAGTGAGTTTATAAAATCAAGGAAGAACATAATTGCAATATAAAAAGCATTCGCAATACAATGAGATATCAAAAAAAAATTCAAAATCTTCAGATTAATATTCCATTTCTCACTGCCATTAAGCAAATTCCTTCTTATGCAAAGTTTATCAAAGACTTAGTCAAGAGGAAAACCAATATCCCTAAGGAAGCCTTCATAGCCCAACATTGTTCCTCATTCCTACAAAACCAAGTTATGGTCAAACATAAAGACCCTAGTAGTCCGACCATCACTTGTAGGATTGGCGAAAATTTTACTGACCAGTCCTATTGGATTTAGGTGCTAGTGTGAACTTGTTACCTTATTTCGTTTACTAAGAGTTAGGGTTATACAGTATGAGGAAAATCGATGTTAGAATCCGATTAGCTGATTGATCAGTTAAGATTCCAAGGGTTATCATTGAGGATGTGATTATCAAAGTGGCCGATTTTTATTATCCAGTCGCCTTCATTGTTCTATACACCCAACCTACTCAAGGTAAACAAATTCCTATCATTTTAGGTCGACCATTCTTAGCTACCGCCAATGCATTGATCAATTGTAGAAATTGAAACATGAACTTGACCTTTGGAAATATGCAAGTGGAAGTTAATGTGTCTAGTTTGATGAAACAACCCCTCGACTCAGATTCTATTGAAAAGGTTTGTCTCGTTGAGTCGTTGACCGCTAAAACCTTTGAGCAATCCTATCCTGAGGATCCACTCCAACAGTGTCTATCACATTTTGGTGCTGATTTTGATGTGAATAATTATATTGGTGAGGTCAATGCCTTGTTAGATTCCACTCCAATATTTGACACACCCAAGTATCGACCCAACTTTGAATCCTTGTCCTCATCAAATGACATTAAATCTAAAAAAGTGATAGAGCCCCTTAAAGTCGAATTAAATCCTCTACCTGAGACTTTAAAATATTCCTACCCAGGTGAATCTATACTTTTCATGTGATGATATTATTTGACTTAACCAACCACCAAAAGAGACCCAACTACTTGAGGTTCTTAGGGCGAATAAAGAAACCATAGGTTGGTATATTGATGATATCAAAGGCATTAGTCCTTTAGTGGTGCAACATCGCATTCATTTAGTGAACGATGCTAAAACCTATAAGCAACCCCAGACGAGACTGAATCCTAACTTGAAGGAAGTTGTCCGTACTGAAGTCATTAAACTCCTTGATGCCGGTATCATATATCCAATCTCCTAAGAAGTTTGGCATTACTATCGTTCCCAGTGATCACAATGAGTTA